ATATCTTGCGGCGTGTGTACCATGACTTAGTTGGCGTATGTTAGCTAATCTTCTTAGATACGATGCCATTCCATAACGAGTACGAGATTGCCATTGCACGTATACGTGTTTAGTTGAGTACCAAACTTCAGACTCACTTCCTCATACTCTTACATAGCCCTTACTTTGGTAGGTTCTAGGGTTTTATGTTCTAGGGTTCCGTGGTGTAGGGTGTAGTGTTTACCTTCTCGCTCACGTCTAACTGGTTGGCATGCCTCTGGTGACACGTGTGTTGCGCACAGGTGTTCTTTGTCAAGTACAACGATCCCATCTACGTGAAGATGCAGAAACTGGACATCATCGTCCGCTTGGCCAAAGAAGACAACATCTCACAGGTGAGCAGGCCAAGTGCTGTATTGCAAATAAACCTAGTGTACATTCCATGGCTCTACGCAATAAATCTGGTTTTCAGGTCAGGTGAGCAGGCCAATTACTATATTGCAGTCGCACGCGCGGCTGAATAAATCTAGTGTACATGCCATGGCTCTACGCAATAGACCGGGTTTTCAGGTCAAGTGAGCATACTCGGAACGGGAATCGAATAGTTTGCTAGCATCAGCATAGATACAGCGCACAAACCACACACATTTAGGCAGTATGTGATGTCATCAAAGTGTCAACAAGGTATTAATAAGGTTTTGACAAGATATCAGTATGTCTTTATATGTAACCAAAGTATACTCATGATGTTATATGTAGCTACCGTAAATCTGTTATAGTATTCCATGACAGTAAAGTGATCCTATTTTATCAATGACTGTTTCTGATTGGTCGTTGGTTCGACAACTGTTTCTGATTGGCTGTTGATTCCACTCCGCAGGTGCTGCGGGAATTGCGTCAGTACTCTACTGAGGCAGACATCTCGTTTGTGCGCAAATCTGTTCAGGTGAGATAGTTGCGTTTTAGGGTTTATAGCTTAGGGTTTAAGGTACTTAAACCCTAAGTTCATTCAGTTAAGTTGTCTGTTGTGTATCCGCTGTATATTGCAGTACTGCTCACAAGTGATAATATAATACAAATACAACACCTGTAGCAAAAACAACACCACAAGCAGACACTGCGAGACTATACGACACTGTGAGACTAGGACGATACTATCTCCCTCACACACACACTCTCGCTCTTCCGTTGCTTCACTGGTGTGGTTGGGGTAGTCCATTGGGCAGTGTGCGATTAAAATTGAGATTGCTGCTGATCAGTGCATTGAGACGCTGATGCAGTTGGTGGCCACGAAAGTGAACTACGTCGTCCAGGAAGCCATCACAGTCATCAGAGGTGTGTGGACTATTAACACAGATGTGTGTGGACTGATAACACAGGTGTGTGTACTAATAGCACAGATGTGTGTGGACTAATAACATATGTGTGTGGACTGATAACTGAGGTGTGTGGACTAATAACACAAATGTGTGTGGACTACATCTTATTAGCACAGGGATGTGTGTCCTATGCGTGCACAGCTGTGTGTTGTGTAGTCGGCTGTGCATGTTATGTTTGATTGTTGCCATTGTAGTACATGGTCACGTACGGTGTGCCTGTGTAGGTGATCGGTACCTTCGCCCGTGCGCTATTGTTTGTGTTGCATCATATGGTGTGTGCTGTATCTAAACCCCTAAACCTCAAAACCCTAAACCCTAAACCCGATATGTTTGCTTGGGATAATTGACTTCTGGCTAGCGGTATGATAAAATTTGTCGACGAACTTGAAATCGGAAACCATTGTTATGTCGTACAATGAGTTTTTTTTTGCCACAGATTTAATAGGAGGAGATTCCAACGGATACGAAAGTGTCATGATCGATTTGTGCGTATTCAGCAATTTATAGCAATTAGGTCTATACCATTCGTCTATATGTATACTATTTGTATATATATATATATATATATATACATATCTATATATATATATATATATATGTACGTATGTATGTATGTTGTATGTATGTATATATTGTGTATGTATAT